GTCACGAGAAGAGTCCTCCACTCGTAGTAGAACACCTTATGCTACCAGGCTTAAAATTTTGGACCTGGACAACCTAGAACTACGCCTCCCACTGTCTGACCTAAGCTTAGTACACAAAATTGTCTGCTACAACCTCCTACCTGTCAGTGGCTACTTCAGCTTCAACTGCAACAAACACACGTGCAAACAATAGCTACAAACTCAAAGTAAACCGCTCCAAACTCAATTGCAGAAAATACGACTTCAGCCATAGAGTGGTCAGCGCCTAGAACTCACTCCCTGACTCTGTGGTTACAAACCCCCAAACACTTTAACCTTAAACTGTCTACTGTGGATCTCACCCCATTCCTAAGAGGTCTGTAAGGGGGTTTGCATAAGTGCACCAGCGTGCCTACCATCCCTTCCCTTCTGTTCCCATTTATTCCTACTCATTTATTTTATATATACTTATATCTGTTTATACATATATGGTTATATGTTATGTTCATACCTGTTTTCTCATGCATGCTTGACAAACTAAATAAAGGAAATAAAATAAATAAATTTTGGAGGACAAAGGAGCAGAGGCTATACTAGGGGATTGTGGGAGGGCCAGTTTTGATGCATTGGCCACCCACCATCCATGGAGCCAAAGCAGGAGGTGGAATGACCAACCTGGAGAAGCCATCTCTGGGGGCATTGATCTTCTGGCCACCGTTCCGGGTTCTTGCCCTCCCTGTCCTTTGGGCACTCTTTGTCGCCTTAAGATACACAACACCCCTGGCCTCCATTCCGATCGTGTGCGCCAAGCAAGGGGAACTCGGCCCACTTATGGCTTCCCATAATTCATGCCTGGACGCTATAAATAGAAAAGGAAGGATTTAAACATTTATGTCTTGCTTTCTGGGAAAAAAGTCACATTCATGAGCGCTCGCCTGGAGAAATATAAATCGGGGAGGGGGGGAAAAGAGAGAGAGAGAGAGAGAAGATCAGGGAAGGAAAGGAGCGGCGTGAAAGCTAACGCATGAAAAGAACGGCAACCCGGTGCGAACCCCAGCACGGAGGCCCTTTGCAGAGTTTTGGGACGACGTGCGTCTTCTGCTAACTTGTCCGTTTCGCCGAGTCTTTGAAAAGTGGGCTCTTCAATTGCAGCACCTAGGGACGTTTTCCTAGCAAAGTGACAACAAGATGAAATATGGCCAGAGAAACAGGCTGCCCGTGTTTTGTTATCTTGGCTGCTGCACATTTGGGTTCTTAGTGCCGGGGTGCTTGTAAAAGCCATAGTTGTTGATGTTCAGTTCACTGGCGAGTGACTAATTGGAGCCAGCTGACTAGGAAGGAGGCCTCCCAAATCAAACATGGTGCTTCAGACAAGATATTATGGGTATTAAGTCAGGCTGCTGCTTTTGGCAGGGATCGTTTGGCGCGGAAGGGGCCGATTTGGTTCCCCCAACAAGATGTTTCTGACTTGCATTTCACACAGGGGCACATGGTTTAGAACAAAACAGCCTGGCCCAATCGGAAGCCTTTTTTGGCGTGTTGAAAGGCATTTCCCAGAATTCCCCAGTCAGCACGGCCAAAGGGGGTTGAAGGGTGATGCGGAATAAGCCCAGCACAGTGTTTTTCAGGCTTGGCCACTTTAAGACACGTGGACTTCAACTCCCAGAACTCTACAGCCAGCCATGCTGACTGGGGAATTCTGGGAGTTGAAGTCCAGGTCTTAAAGTGGCCCAGACTGAGGAACTTAGTGGTATCTTCTGCGGTGAGGTTCTACAGCCCCTCTGGCATCCATCAAAAAACGTTGCGTATGAAAATTGGAAGCCAAACCGTCAGACCGCCTCCTCTAAACTCTACCTCTGCTCTTTCCAAATGTATTTCTCAAACTATTTACAAGCCTTATCAATGTTTTGCAGAGTGGACCTTGGACGACTAGCAGAAAAGAGCAAAGGCAAATCCCAGCCAGAGAACAATTTCCAAATTAGACTAGGAGCAAAAAAGGGGAAAAGTTTCTCATTGCACTCAAAGACTCTTGGAGAGGTGGCCTTGTTTACTGAAAGACGTATTAAAAGTTTTAAAAACTTGATTGGACAAATTTGTGGCCGAGGTGATTCAGCAGCTTATCCTCTGGGCAGGGATGGGCTGATCATGGAAAGGGGGTTATCATTATGCTTTGTGGCAGGAGATGGTCCAAGAAATGGGACAACAGAGCCCCTTAGCCGGGAAAGAGGCTTTGGAACCCCTTAAAGACTAACTTCAATGTACAATCAAGAGCATCGAACAAAGAAGTGCTTTGTCGTTTGCAAAAGCTAGGGAATTCTGGGACTTGAAGTCCACACCTCTAACAGTGGCCAATTTTGAGAAGCCCTGATCTCAGGCATGGTGGTTTGAATGCTAGCGCTCTCCAAATCAAGGCAATTGCTTCAAAGGAAATGTTGCACAGGATGGGAGAATTAGGGGTCCTTGGTACGGTCTGAACTTGGTTGTTTTCTTGCAGGAGTTTCATTACCCAACTAGGTAACATCATCAGTATTAGAAAGGAGTGGGGTTTGCAAAGAGGAGGAAGAGGAGAAGGAGGACGAAGGCTGTGGGGTCCTTGGTGGTCTCTGAGCTTAGGTATTTTCTTGCAGATGTTTCATTACCCAACTAGGTAACCATCATCAGTGCTAGAAGGGAGCGGGATTTGCTCTGAGTTTATATTCTAGTGGTTTGTCCTGTCAGTGATAGTTGGGTGGTTTTAGAAGTTATGTGGTTGCGTTGTTTACTGTTGGCTTGTTTGGCAGTTTCTCATTTGGGAGCATTGGTTACTTGATTGTTATTTAATTGTTATTGTCATTTGATTGTTACTTGATGTTAATCTCGGGGTTAATCTAGGTTCATCTGATCGCTGGTCTTGGTTTGGACCATTGCCTTGGTCATTTTGTCCCCCTTTTTGGCTTGTTGGGTGTCTCTTTTGCATAGCCTATAGATATTGGTTGTGTCTACGTGCCTGAATAATGATTGGCTCAGAGTGATTGGCTTCTAGACATTCTCCAGCGTTTGGGCACTGGACTTGGTTAAGTCTGTCCATAGGTCGCAAAATTAAAGAGTTTTCATCAGGCCTTCGGACTGCTAGTTGGTTGTTCATGGATGCCAGTTTTCTGCCTGTTTGTTCTACGCAGTGGCAGAATTAAAATGAATTATATCCAGGTTCAATTTCAGAAGCAGAAAAGCTCCTTTGTGTCCTGGAGCAGAACCAGGGGTTTCCTCCCCACTGATGAGCTGCTGACATGAAAGCAAGGGCATTTGGGGTTAATTTGCATCCCGCAAGTCATTGCAGTTACGGACGCCTTCATTAAAATGGATCCTGTGTTTGGCCAGGCAATAAAATACGGTTGTTATTTGGCAAGATTAGATGCATGTCAACATCGACTGGGTGGGCCAGGGATTCTGGCTGAAACTGGCTTGCCAGAGTCATTAGCAAAAAAAAAAAAAGCAGGGAGAAGCCTCGGGGAAGAAAGAAAAGCCACTGAAAGTCATTTCGGTGCATTTGAACGGAGGAATAATTCAAAAGGGGTGTGGGGAGAGAATTCGTTAGTTCTGATTGTTTTTCTTCGTGTGACCTTGAGAAATGGACAGCGTGGGTGAAATCGGGCTCCAGATGCATTCTTTTTCTAACCAACTGCTTTGGTTGGACTTTTGGAACCAGGATTCTGTAGGTCAGAGTTCTCCAAACTTGGCAACTTTAAGACTTGCGGACTTCAGTTCTGGGAGTTGAAGTCCACAAGTCTTAAAGTTGCCAAATTTGGGGGCTCCTGCCCTAGGTGTTTAGGTTACTTGGAGGATGGCTCGTGAGAAGTGTAGGCTAACGCAATTGGAGTTCATCAGGTGGGAATTAGGGGTAGGCCAAGGTTTCCAATCTTGGCCATTGTAAATTATGTGGATTTCAACTCCCAGAATTCCCCAGCCAGCTGTGCTGGCTGGGGAATTCTGGGAGTTGAAGTCCACACATCTTAAAAAATTGCAAGGTTGGAAAACACTGCACTGGATTGTAAATAAGATGAGAACTTAAGCTTTGGAGGACCCAATGTTCAGCTAGAGAAGGTCCCAAGTTCTGGCTAACCATCGGTCTCCTTTGCTGGTGTGGGAATTCTGGGAGTTGAAGTCCACACAACTTTTGAGTTGCCACTGCTGAGAAACACTGCCCTAGAGACTGAAGTTGGTCGTGCCATCGCTCCCCGAACCTCCCAACACCAGAGACCACAATTTGCACCAGATCTTATGAATATATTTTATTGGCTTCGGAAAGCACAGTGGAGTTTCAAAATACGTTTCCCAAAAGATACAGTATGTACAACAACAGCAAACAAATTCAGTAACACGCACAGAACTTTTGAAAGTCCAACATCAGGACTCCGAGCTTCCAAAATCCTTCTTCTCTTCTCTTTTTTCTTCTTACCTCCTTCAATTTTATTTTAAAAAAATCTCAAGACAGATTTCGGACACATAGTAAGTAATAGTAGCTGCGAGCAGCTCCCCAAGTTATTTTGGGAGAAAAGAAAAAGGCCGTTTTCTTTATAAACACAGGAGAACGCCTTACCAGCAGGGGATTTAAATAGCAAAAAGGCTAGGGACAAAAACAGAGAGGGAATCTTTCCAGTCTCAGAGTTGTGAAGTCCAGATGGTCGGTTGGACCAGAGATGAAAAGAGAGACAATTTAGCTTGAGAATTTTTCAAATGTGTATTTCGGTTGGCAGTCAAGCACAGCCGTCCAGGACAAGCCTTCGAGCAGTTGTGCGGTCCCATCGGTCTGTTACAAAATGCTTCGGTCAGCATCTTTGCAGGACTGGTGGTGGTGGGAAGAATATCGGTTCCAGTTTGTGACAGTATGACTATCCAGGCCTCGAATGCCCTCGTCTGCCTCCCGTCCCTCTCCGAAATCAAACCCTGGAATTCTCCTTTCAATGGAGAATAGAGACACTCTTTTGCAAGAGGAAGCTCTGGAGGGGAGAGGTCTTATTTTTTAAAGAGCGCTTTTGCCTAGATTGTAATCAAATACATTTAAAACAACAGCTGCCTCTTAGCATTTTTGGGTCCCGGAACGGTCTTAGTGTTAGGTGAATAGACAATCTGTCTCTGCGCAGCTGAATTGGGGCAGCCATTGGTTGACATTTGAGTTCACTGCTATGTTTTGAAGCCAGAGACTCTGTTGCAAACACAACAGAGGCTGGATTCCCCCTCCTTCCCCCAATTACCATACAGTAGGACAGGGGTGTCAAACTCAAGGCCCGTGGGTTGGATTGTAGTCACATACATTTAAAACAGCAGCTGCCTCTGTGCTTAGATCTGGCCCGCAGGACCACCCTGGAAACAATGAAGAACCAGCCCGTGGCGACTCTGCCAGCAAAAAGGGAGCTCATCAGGGCTGCACGTGGCTCCCCCAAGCTCCGTTTTCACTGGCAGAGGGTTGGCAGCCGTTGCAGCTGGAAACGGAGCTCGGGAAGGCCACGTGTGGCCCTCCCAAGCTCCGTTTCGTTGCAGGAAGCTGTCGCAGCCGGAAGCAGAGCTCAGGAGCCCATTTTCGCTGGCAGAGCACTTGGGCCCCTACAGGCAACTCCGACACGAGTGACGTTGAGCTGGCCCCGTCCACCCCGGGCCCCCTGAGGTCAAATACAACGCTGATGCAGCCCTCGATGCAATGGAGTTTAATACCCCTGCAGTAGGACATTTCTCTTTGGATTGAGGCAAGACAGACGCCGAAGTGGGTTCTGGTATGGGCCTCTGAGTTCAGCGGAAAAGAGAGATTGGGAAGGGGGCCGGGGAAGGAAGGGGGATTTTGCAGGAGGGATATTTGGTTCCCAAGAAAACCAGTCCATTAGTTCTCAAATTCTGGTGGTGCACAAAGATGGACAGGGGCTCCTGATAACCTGGGGCCAGAGCTTAAGCCAGGAGCTTGTATCCCAGAGAGATGGAAAGAAACTGAAGCATGGCGAGAAGGCACGAGCTGGCTTGGGTCACCGAGACCGAACTGTGCGGACCTTTGGTGGATGGATGGGAAGGCGCTAAATTATGGTGGAAGGAGGTGGCGTTGATGTGGTGGTGACCATCACTCGGGTGGCTCAGAAGAGTCGGATTTCCGGTGCTGCTGGTTGGCCGGGCGACGGAAGACGATGGCATTGAGCTGGCCCCGCCTGGAAGGAAAAACGGAAGCCAGGTTAGATGAGCCCTTTTGCTGATGGAGGAAGGGGAAGTCCTGTGATGCCAACCCAAGCAGCTTGAGAAGACCCTCACAAGGGGCATCAGTTTGAGGCGAGATGGAAGCTCTGTCTGGTTTTGAGGTGCTCTGGAGCTTCAGTGGCAACCCTACTCCTGCCATCTTGACTGTTTTGATGGCCTTTTAAAAACGCACCTGCCTCCCAAGCTTTCTCAGGGAAGGAGAGCACCTGGGCACATCTTTTGTCTGACCTCCTGAGCATCTCTGGAGTTTGAGGCTGGATGCTAAGAGGATGTGGCTTACAGTCACCGTGATGTTGGGTCTGCTTCCACTGAATTACATTCTAGCGTTGCTCAGTGCTTTGAATCGTCCTCACCCCAAAACCAAACCATTGTTGCAAAATATTCCCAAGCTGTTTTTCCCAAGAACATGCTAAAATTACCTTTTGCCAAAGTCCTGGTCTGGAGCAGGGTGGTTCCATTGGCAAAAGTGACGAAGGCTCTGTTTGGAAACAGACAAGCAGAAAACAGACATTGAGAAAAGGAGAGAAGCTGGAAACTTCCACAGGAAGTCGATTCCTTTTTAAAATTTTCTTTTTGCGCAGAATTTAGGAAAGCAAGAAGCACCATTTAACTTCATTTTCAAATGTCTGGCTTCCTATCATGGCACCAGAATGAGGCAGAATGGTTTAGGAGAGCGAGCTTGATCCTGACCAATGTTCAGTTATCTGTAGGATTCGTACAAGACATTTCCTGGTGATCGGAACCACGGCATTAAAATGCTGATTAATCATAAGAGGAAGGGAACAATTCCATAGCTGGCAGGTGGTTTAAGCTAGTCTTGGATGGATGGGTGGATGGATGGAAGGAAGGAAGGAAGGAAGGAAGGAAGGAAGGAAGGAAGGAAGGA